CTGAAACTTCTAGAACTCTCAAGGCAGTCGTTTTGACGGCTCCCATTCAAATTAACAGAATTAAGTAAGTTAAGTAATTCATAGTTCATTTTTCTATTTTTAATACGTTCTAAAACTAGTTAATATGATTGAGATATAGCCAAACTAAATACTTACAGCTGATAGTTAACAGTGTGTTGCTATGGTAACTCGCTCTCACTCCGAGCTGAGATTGCTCTGAACCAGTCTAGGATCGAGATAAATTCATACACATAATGACATAAAGATAAACTACAAATAGGTACACAAAAAGTCACAGTGTTGAATATGTTAATGAAGTAATTACAAAAATGAAAAGGTGTCGAATTGACTGCTCTGGGTGTTCTGGTGTCAAGACTGGACTCTCTTGAGGAAATGGGTGGCCCAAGACAAAAAATGGGAAGCAGGTCTAAAAAAAAATCCATCAAAATCATTAATCTCTGGTTTATTTCGTCATCACTTTGCCTCGTCTGCTTCCATACGTTTCTCTATTTCGTTCTTCTTGTATCAAGTTCCATTTGCGCTCAAGTGGAGGCCAGTGATGTTAGAGTTTAGTTCAAAGCTACAGTCGGACCTGAAGCATAGGTCAAAGGACGGCACTTATGTGTGAGTTGTGGATATTTTTGTAGAATCGTCAGTCAAGGTACTAAACCACAACCTGTGTGTAATCCCTCTCTTCCCCATAAATCCCCATATTTTATTAAAACGTCATGTTTTAGAGCGTTTTACAACTTTTACCGCTCATAAAAAACACATACCTGGAGTTATTTTTGGCTTCACAGATGGATGCTAACTTTATTCTCTCTCTCTCAGAACGCTCTATTCAATTCATCTTTGTATAGTAAGTAAGTAAGTAATCTTTATGTAGTGCTTTACAATCTCTAAATCACAACAGTAGTTATCTCGGAGGACTTTTACACAGTTGTTGATTCGCCAACTCAGATTAGAGAATCAAACTGGTCAAGACAGGTCTAATCTAAACTAGTCTAATCCTGTCAATCTGGTCTAGATGTCGTGGAAATTTGTTTTAATTTTTTTTTCATTTACCTTCTCTAAATAACAATACCTGCCATCAAAGTGCTTATAATATACTTCCACTGTCTAAATTTTAGAATCAGAATCAAAATTAGACTTTTTTGTATTGCCACGTGAGTAGCAAGAAGCAACAAACTAGGAAATTGCTTGGAATATATAGTCTCCGCTCACTTCAATCAATCAATCAATAATTTCCTACATACGGTCCCAAAGCCCCATTCACATGAGGCATAAATCATAAACATTATAAAAAAGAGATTAAAAACAACCATTACAGCACTTCCATATGATATTCTCACACAGCTTGTTTCTTTCATTTCTGATGTATTTCTTGAAAAAATCACCTCTGCATTGATCCGACTCGTCTCTCGGTCCACAGTGGCACAATATGCCCATCAGCTCCATATTTATAGAGATCAACGTCCTATAGTGGATCATTGTAGGGAAAATAATAACATCTCCAGGTCATCATAAGTTACATTTTTTATTGCACGTCTAACCCCGAGCCTTGTTTATCACTCGTCAAGCTCATGTGTGCATTCCCTCAAGCATAGTCCTGTCTATGTCTTGCCTCGGGCTTGAAAGAAAATACACAAAACATATCTATACACACCTGCTATAGAGTCGCGGTCTGTGAGGGTACTATAGGGAAAGGCTTTGGACGCCACAAAGCACATTGGATTCTCAAGCCTTGGTGAGAAGAGAGATGAGTTTGTATTCATTATGGAGGGAAAATAAAAGAAAATACTTGACTGATAAGAGCGAGAGAGACAGTGGAGGAAGCATCCGGCTAAAGTCCTTGAGGGAGAGGAGGCATGAGAGTATGAAATGAGAACATGAGATGGGTGTGGGGAGGAGGGGGAGCAGATAGAGATTAAAAAAAAAACATTTTGTTGAATAGGCCAGGCAAAAAAGGCCATAATGAATAAAAAATGTGGGTTACTTTTTTTGCTCATATACTGTACTGTATATTACTATTTTTATTTAACCAGGAAAGTCCCATTGAGATGAAGAACTTCTTATTTAAGGGAGTCCTGGACTAGAGGCCGCGAAAGTTACACACAGTTACATAAAATGACGGATTAAAAAACAGTTACACAAACATTGAATACATTTTGTTTGATCCAGAGTCTTGCAAAATGTTGTGAACAAATCAAGGCACAACCACACAGCAATATTCCTCGTGCAAAGTTTCGGGTCACTATTTGGCGGTTTGGGGTGAGAGCTGATTGGCTGAGAACCAACAATGTTTTTGAGAATGGACTGTATTAGTTCATGTTTAATGTTGTGAGTAAAAAGTTACATACCCAGGCTTTAATTAATGCATTTTGCTTTTAAATAATTTTTGGAACAAGCCTCATTGTAGCATTCTAGCAATTCATAAAAAAAATAACAATTAGAGAGAGGCAATTTATGCATGTGTTAATACCCTTTGCAGACAACAAACTATCATAAATTAACTGCAGCGGGAAAAAATCCAATAATTTCATGTTTGGATCAACAATATTGCAGTCAACAAGTATAAATTCCTGTCATGTTTAATTGTGCACTTTGAACAGAATCCAACTTTTTAAACAAAACTAGGAAATCTAAATGCAAGGCTGTAAAAATTACAATTAGACCAAACGCTTTTTGAGCCCTATCATCATCAACTCATTTGTGTTATTATTACTGCGTGTACCCATTCCTGACAGCACGACGTCGCTCAAAATGAACCGGGACATTCATTATTTTCCACTTTGAAATCTTGCAATGGCCGCTCTCGCCTCGCCTCTCTCCGCTCCCCGTCCGTGTCCGACCGGCTCCGGTGACTAAATCCCGCCGAGCTGCCATTAACGCGTTACTATTTGCTCCCCCTTCAATCTTCTCGCCATCATCTACAAAATATACTGCCGTTTCATTACCCGCCGCCCACTCGGCCTCCTGTTGACTTGTCATTTGAGTCCTCTTGCCCTATCATCACCATTCCGCTCCACTTACCAACATCCTCCACTCCCTTTTGCCAATCGGCGTGCCAGTATCAGAGATGGTGTTAAGCTGTGGCTCATTGCACCGTGGCATCGCTTACTGGGCACTGGCCATGTGGAAGCTACACTCCGAAAGGGTTGTGGCAGTGAGAAAGAGAGAGAGATAGATAGAGAGACAGAGAGTGGGAGAGAGGGGGGGTTTGGGCTGGCCATTCCAATGTCTTCTAGCCAAAAAACCTGTATTTTTCTACTTAGATGATCGGCTTGTTTACAGCTCAGTGGCAGCGCGGTTCTCTGCTGGGCTAATTTGTCACCCCCGTGGAAAAAAAAACAAGGCGCCATGCACAGCGGAGTGGAAGTCGAAGCGCTTGTTATGTTGGAAGCCAGAGGATAAGGAGATGAGAGGAGGATGTATAGAAATAGAAATATATATAGATGTAGCTATAGACAGGCAGATGGATAGGAGAAGGTTTGAGATGCGGGTCGATGATATGAGCATTGTATGAAAGAAAAATCTGGTTCTTCTTCTTAGCAAATAACGATGTATACGATCGTTGGCTGCAGGCTGTGGTTTCAGAAATTTGTTATGATGGCGATTAACAACTTGATACTTCATCTTCTGAACAGGGAACAACCGATATTTAATTTATTTCGAAGATTGTTTTGAGTCGTTGGAAGTTAACACCAACTCATGCTGCCAAACATGATTTCAGTCTACAACCACGTTATACACATGTAGCTCTACTACTGTACACATGCCGTATATCATTTTTCAATATTCTAAAAGAACATTCTAAATATCAGGAGCGGAAAATAAACAGGCAGAGCAGAATCTCAAAGAATTGGTATCAATCGATTGATCGACTTTTGATTAGATGTCCTGAAAATGTTACATTGAGCAGGCAGCTGAAACTGAAAACCAAAATTGGCTAACAATATTTAAAAGGGAATAATCGGCTAAACTTAGGCCCTGTCCACACGAAGTCAAGCTCAGGCCTAAACGCAAAAATACTTTATCAATCCAGTGTATCGTCCATACGAGGCCGGCGTTTTGGAGGGGTGTAAACGAACATTTTTGAAAGTAGGTCCCAGAGTGGAAAGATTTCAAAACTCCGTATATGCCGCTCCGTTGTTACTGCCTCTCCGCAATGTATCTGAGACGCTTGCGTCATCGCCCCGCCTCTTGTTAAAGCACGCATGCGCCGCACTCAGAAAATAATGACAACAACAATGAAGCTTGTTAGTTTTGTAATCCAGTGCGACCCGAAGCAACAGTTCAACCTCATCGTCCGCCCATACTAATGTAGTACCAGCTCGCCCACTCGCCATGTTGTCTGTTTACAAAATTCTGCGCATGCCCAGTTCCCGTCACGGAAGTTTGGGCTTGATCCCGTCATTGCGTCACAGAGCCACCAACAGGTCTGGCATAGTTTCACAGCGTTTTCAGGCGTATTGACTACATTCATATGGACGCACACATTTACTGAGCAAACTCAGTGTTTACAGAAAAAGTTTCTGAAATTATAAGCATTTTGTCTTTGTGTGGATATAGTCTTAGCTGCCAAAAACCAGTGAATTTGTCGGGTGGTTTTGACGGAAATCCTAGGATAAAGGTGTTTTGAAATATTTTGTTTGAACTTTGTGTTGCTCTTTCTCATACGTTGCATGCTTGTTAAAATATAGACATTGTTATAAACCAAAAAAAATTAAATATATTTCTCTACTAATTTCTGTTCAAAAATAACCTAAGAAACTAGGATTGAAACATAGATACATAATACAAAACAATGGTTTAAGATCCTGGCTGGAATTTCCATGTTGGACCCAAACCAATAAGCGCGGTGCCCCTTGGATGCCCATTCCCTGACCCCTATTAGAAAAAATGAGGTTCTGACTATAAACTTTGTTTTTTTTTGTCGTAGAATTCAAGATCTCATTTCCAAGTTCTCATTAGTAGAGTGTACAAACAGGATGTGCTGCTCATGTGCCCGCGATCGTCCGTATGCCTCTGTCTCGCAGTGATAGAATCGGCCTAACGACAATACCGTGTTCGTCCAAATTCCCAATATTCATTTGATATCCTGCCCACGGGACTCTCGGGTTCTTCTGCTCCGGCATCGGGTCAGTAATGAGCTGGTTTTGGTTTTGCCATCCCTACCCACAGGCGTGTTTGTTATACGTGTACGGTTATGGGGGGAAAAAACCATAGAATGAGGCCACTGGATTCAAAACATGCCTACAGTGTCAAAATAGATAAATAAATAAGTAGCATCATCATTCGCTATACGGGAAGCCATTTGAATTTCTTATATAACTCAGTCAAAGCGATATCTCTGTGAACTTTCGGATTCAGTAGTTGCAGAAGCCAACAATATTGTAGCAGTCTTTTGCTTAAATCTCGGGGTATCCAACTTTCAAACTATAAAAATGGAACTGTGTATTTTTGGCCTCTGTCTCGGCTTTAGTTCAGCTTTTTTCAGACAGAAAAAGTAAAAAAGAGAGGACCACCCTTACTCAACCAATCAGCTGTTAGTGACTCACAGGGCTCTGTCTTATACATAAGGGGCAACAGTAGGTCAGTTGGTAGAGCATTAGCCTTTGATAAAGTAAGTAGTAAGTAAGTAAGCTTTATTTATATACCGCCTTTCACAGACCAGAGTCACAAAGCGGTTTACAATTGTTATTTTTTTGGGCACTTGTCCTCTCACTCCACACAGAGATGGGAGCGGGGTCGCCGAACAGGAGGCGCATGCCAGACCTATTGTACATATTTTTAGTGGTAGGGGAAACCGGAGTACCCGGAGGAAACCTACGCAGACACGGGGAGAACATGCAAACTCCACGCAGAAAGGCCCTGGTCCGGCCGGGATTCGAACCCAGAACCTTCTTGCTGAGAGGCGAGAGTGCTATCCACTCAGCCACCGTGCCGCCCAAAAAAGCGCTATATAAAACCGATGCATTATTATTATCAATATATGCAAAAGATGATGGTGCTTTATAAGAATAATTTTAATTATATAAAGATGGTACATCGTGGTCTGATTTGTTCACAACGTTTAACTTCTGCAAAACTTTGGTAGAGTTCTGTGGTATAAAAAAATTGCAATAAAAAATGTAGGTTCCCCAGATTTAATTATGCCTATATAATCCAAGAGTTAAATCTATAGCTAGTTTATTGTCTAATGTCTATTGCTATGAAGTGAAAATGGTTAGAAGCACAAAACACACAAAGTATACTCGGTAAAAGGCCAGTTCACGAGAGCTCAAAAGTCACAGTCCACTTGAAATTCAAAAAGCCTCCACAAAGTCAGAAAAAAGAAAAATCTATACGGCTGTTAAACCAGAGAAAGCCCTGTGATGACTCTACACCATAGTTTGGCTTATTTCAAATTCACTTTCTCAATCAATGTCTCCGAATCCATCCTCAAGGAGCAAAGGCCAGTTCAAGCATTTACTTTTCAGTCCAACCAAAAAGCCATGCATTTCCTATACACATATTACACAAGCCAAAACAATAAGGAGCAAAGCATAATTCATAAATTGGAAAACTACCCCAAGGGGAAAGCCATGTATTTTAGCAAAGAAGGCATTGCAGCATCGCTTGGTTTTGATGCAAGCATAATGGTGGAGAAATGGTTCCCTGGAGGGCAGATAGATGCATTGTAAGGTCAATAAAGATAACCGTGTCTGCATGTAAACAGTGGGGCTGTCTTAGAAGCATACAGTAGCTGCAAGACATAATATATTATGGCTAATATATTATGGCTAATACATGATGGCGTAGTTTCAGACTGTCAGGAGTCTATGGGCAATTCATATGTTTATTAATAGAAGGTTAAACTGGCTCAAGATTACCAAAGAAGAGTGTACATATAAGTGATTGGGAGGTATCGTGGTCTATCTATAAAACACCTCAATTATAAGTATTGCCTGGTTTAAAGTTGGCCAATATGATGCGTTCCATGATAAAATACCTAGATATTTTATTTGAGGCTTAAAAGGTTCTTTTAATAAGAAAAAATATAAAGGTAAAAATAAACATCTGAGCCTTAAACAAAAAAAACACAAAATCAACTCCAGGACTCCCTTGAAAAAGAGGTTTTTTTTTATCTCAATGGGACTTTCCTGGTTAAATAAAAAAAGAGAAAAAAAAAACTTGTCACGCTCAATTAAAATTTCACTTGGATATGGTTTTATCCAATATATTTCCAAACTAAGTCAAGGCATTTGAACCTTAACCTCTGCTCAGCCCCATTTTAAGACCTGCATTAAGTGTATTCAAGATTGATAGTACATTTTCTGGTTGTTCTTACAAATGAATTAAAGCATCACATAAAAAACTAAAAAACTATATTTAATCTAAGAAATCTAAAAATTGTGTATCAAAATAAAAAGCTTTTTTTCTGTCAAACCTAACATTCTTACAGTACTTTCAACCCACACGAATATTATAGGTGACAGACAATAGAAAAGAAAATGTGTCCCCATAGAACTAACTTTCTGTACCACCTTTGATTTCTGTTTTGTATTGATTCATGCACATAAAGATTTCCCATGTTCTAAATTTATCGTACAATAAGGATCTACAAGTGCAATAGCAGTAAAGAGAAGTTCTTTAAGCCACACGCAGGCATGAAAGCTGTGATATCTTGTGAACCCGGACCATTAGGATCAGTATATCAAGACCCTTACTGGCGGAGGGCAGTTATTCCGCGTGGCTGGGCTGGACCGATGGATAAATTAGAGCCCGGGGCCATTAGTCATGTGTGACCCAGCCGGCTGTAATCAAGAGCCCAATACAACAAAGATACCACCGCTGAGGGCAAAGCAGGCCAGGCCAATTTATCACACACCAGATCAGCTGTGCAATGGGGCTTTATTAATGGCAGTCCACTTAAACGGTTTGTGGTCAAGCGCGGTGAGGCCAAGGTCGCAACCCGGGTCATCGAGTGGCGCGTACGAGATAATCAATGGAAGCGAGAGCAAAAGTACGGTAAGATGTTCAGAGTTTTCCGGGGAGGTTTTGAGGTGGAATTGTATGAATTTTAATGTGTGGTTTGTCAATGAGAAAAACTGGGATTTTGTTGCATGCGAGGTCTTTAAAGTTCAGCGAATTGATACATAGGGTGAAGAAAGCAAGTGGAACATTTACATACATTTACATTACATTTTTGTCTTGGATCCCTGTAGTTAAAAGACTACACAAATCAATCAGAGAAATATATACAACTTTTCACTGTATTACATCAAATATTCAAAAAATATACTGTACCCGTAGAGTCAACCCTTCCTGGCGTGTGATTATGTAAAGTCTTGTAATTGCGATTTGTTTAGGGATTGGGCTCACAATTTCAATGCATATGCTGTTCCGCTGGGGCCAAGGTCAGTCTGAACGACCAGTCCAGTGAATCAGGATGACCAAGCCCACTCAAGAAGTAACATCAGAAGAAAAATGACACTTCAAAGAGGCGGGTGACAGTTTTAAAGATGGCATGTATGATGGCCGAATCAACAAGGTCCTTAAAGTGGTTCTCACCCCCGCTCCTCGGAGTTTACGTCACTCACATTTCCTGTTCAAATCTTCCTCTAAAAGGGCGTAGCCTGGAGGACTGAAGGGGGCGTGAACGAGACTGGGCCGTTTATATAGCTCTGGGCGGGGGGCTGCTGACGTCAGGTCTTGCTTCAGACGTCAGGTCTTGCTGCCGCGCCAGTGTTGGCGCCAGATTCAAAATTCAAATGTAGTAATACAGGTCGCCAGCAGATGGCGCCTCACAGACGGTTTTAGGCAGAAAGTTGATCTTTCAACTAATTTGCACCAAGTGACAAATTTATGACCAGGATATGCAGTGGCGTTCCAAGGGTACCCCGGGGCCCCAGGCAAAAGAGTCCTTGGGGGCCCTGATACCGACCATATAACCACATAAAAAGGTTAACACTGCAGTAGATATAAATATTATTTATTTTGCATCATAAAGTTGAAACAGAATTGACAAAATACTAACAACAAAGATCAGCGGAACAACAATATTATGAAAACATAATTAACAACTAAACAATAACGCTTATAGGTTCTCAACTCTGTGACAATACTTCTTTGTAGAACTTGCATATTATAGCAATAATCCTGTGGATTACTGTTTTCCAGAGCTGCTCCTCAAGGTGCAATAGATCCTGGTGTATTTGATCTAGAGCAGATTTTGTTTTTAACCTTATCTGGAGCTCATGCCAACTTTTCATGTTATTTTCATGGGTTTGGAATATTCATGCTCTTTTAAATGTGCAACAAGGTTTTTCCAGTTTTTAAACCCTCCTTTAGTTAGAGCATTATTGTCCTTTTTGCCAAATATTTTGCAAGCAAAGCAAAACGACCGCAAATCGGTCGATTTTGAATATACTAGCCATGTTCGCTTTATTTTTTCACCATTTCTCATGACCATGTAATAATTTTCCTTTGTGAATCTCCGAGGATTTTGTTCATTGCTTTGAGGAAAAACAATATCCGTCACCTGAAGAGGACCTTTTTTCACCAGGGAACTCTTTTCACCATCATTAAGAACATCAGGCCACTGTCCAGGATCAGAAGATGTCAATCTTATTGGTGTTGCTTTTTCTTGGTCTGTGGATGTCGTTTGAGCTGAAACCAATTAAAAAAAACACATGAATTCTCAAAAGAAAAACACAATAACCATAAATAATCCTGATGTGATATCATTACTTGAACAAACACTATGTTTAGTCTCTTTTTACAGCCTTTACAATTACAATTGTTGCTAAAGATGGCTTGCTAATTATGTCCATATTTACATTACTATTTATGTATTTTTAATTTACACATCTTCAAAATACAAACCAACTTAGATATTGATTTATTTTCAAGTATACCTCTTATATTTGTTTGAAATTATAGATATGGTAGATACTACAAAGGGCCATAGTGTGTAAAATTCAAGCATTTTTTTAACTAAATACATTATTGCACTAATATCATACCTGGAGTGGGTGCTTGTGGTTCTGTTTGGTCCTCTTGGTCAATGGAGGTAGGCGACGAAATGTTGACCATTGCAGTATGGGATATAGCTGACTGCTGCTCACTGGAGGAAGCGCTGCTGTCCAGGGCTGTAGAGGGGGCAGTAAACCTTGGCGTGGCAGTACTTGGGACTGTAGTAGTGTGTGTAGCGGCAGACTGAGCTTAAAGATAAAGAGAAATCAAACATGGCATTAACGTCGTAATGTATTTTGATAAAATATCTTTAGAAGTAAGAATATATATAGATAAAGTACTTACAACTAGAAGCATGTTCCTGATTTGAAGAAGATGAGGGAACTAAACATTTTCTTAGCAATCCTGAGCAAAAGGGGAAAAATATATTATTTAGTAAGTAAAAATGCAACATCTATTAATTGTTTACATTAACATTAAAATGTAGACAATTTCTTATTTCTAACAATAAATGTACAAGCCTGGGGCCTGCCTGGCATACTGCACAGTCTACCATAGAAAATTAGTATTTTAAAAAGTTTTTGGTGACGAAAAGCAATGAGAAATAAATTAGCATGTCTTTTTATAAACTTGTTCACTACACTCATCATGTTATAATTAATTAAAAAACACTACCTGCTATCAAAGTGTATTAATCCTTCAAAACGCTAACAATAGCATGCTAAATGTTGCTGTGATGTGATCCGCAAACAAACAAGTTAGTTCCAAGAGCGTCATGTAGACTAGATGTCAGTCACTCACCGCTATCATGCTTTCTTTTCTCGTCTTCCTCTTTTTTGCGCTTTCGTTTATCGCTTCCAGAAGGATAACTTCTCTTCATTTGGTCGGACAACTTTGTTTTGCTTTGGGAGAAATAGCACGCTGCCTGCACGCTCCGCTCACCTCTGTCACTGACACATGTGGGGGGAGGGGCGAGAGGAGCGGGGCCCTATCAGGGGATTTGAGACGGGCGGTCAAATTGCAACTCGTCACTGCAGGTACCTGTTGTGGCCTGTACAAGTCGACCGCTTGTGTCAAATCAGTCGTCCCTCGGGGGCCCCTGCCGGTTTGGGGGCCCCAGGCAGCTGCCTGCCTTGCCTGTTGGCACGGGACGCCTCTGAGGATATGTAGACAACATTATTGGACACTCATTTATACCGTTTATCAGCAAAAAAAAGTGGATTTGAGGGTGAGTTGTCCTTTAAAGATGCAGTCAGCGATTTTTTTCCAGATGCATTTTTGTAAATATTGTGGGAAAATGTGTCTAAACCTTAAAGTTATGTGTCTTCAAATAGTAATGGAATTGACCAGATACCTACAGTCTCCAAACATTAATAAAACATATTTTTGAGCGGACCGATGAAAATAAACAAAATGGGATTGGTTTATCCCCAACAAACCAATGGGATGCGTTTAACCCCTTTCACAGTTATCGGATTTTCTAAAACCTAAAACGACTGAACAGTAAATGCCAATTTTACAGTTGCCACCCACTCACCCTGTTGTGATGACTACAATAAAATGCTGGATGTTTGGTTTGGTGGAGAGGCGAGGGGAGGGGGGAAGAGGTTTTGACTTGGTGCTATGGCTAAGCTAACAAAATCGCTTACTGTACCTTTAAATCTGTGCATCCAACTGAGGGATTTTATATGTTTATCTTTCTTTTTAATGTACTGTGATTATGATTTTAATGCCATCTTATTTTGTTCAGCACTTTGAGTTGCCTTGTGTATGAATTGTGCTATACAAATGCCTTGCCTTCAATCTCAACCAGTCTTTAAACAAGAACCTAAACGGTAAACATTCAAAAGTGGACAAAGTTTAGCTATTTTTATCCCTCCAACCCATGGATCTATTATATTAACTGGATAGGGTATTACTAGCTTGTAGCTGAATAACTCATGTGCTCGGGGGATTCTCGCGGTACTGCAGACTGAACTAGACTAAATTCAGTCGTGGGCTACTCCAGAAATTTTCCTAGTGAATATTTCTGCTTGTAGCTGAATAAACTCATGTGCTCGGGGGATTCTCGCGGTACTGCAGACTGAACTAGACTAAATTCACGTGGGCTACCCAGAAATTTTCCCCATAGAACTCAGTGCATATTAAAACAGCTCAACCTCAGCTAACAGAGAACCTGACAGAGAACTTGACAGAGAACCCTACAGCTTTCATAAAGGTCGGATTTTGTGGGGATTTTAGTGTCCCTTGTCATCCTGAACTTTTTTCTTCTTAAATCCTTCGGTTTTGTTTAAATTCACACTTTAGTGCCACAAACTCTGCTCGACTGGCTCTCGCTCTAACTCCCGCTCTGATGAACTGCTCTGATTGGTCGGAGCGCAGCCGAGCCCCTCTGTGCACGTGCGTGAGACCCGGTGTGAGACCCACACACGCGTGTTTGGCGCAACGCATTATGGGAGATCATCCACTGCGCAGAACCGGGAGGACCAGACGATGCCCAAATACAGGCGAGTTTCCCATAGATCTTTGCGAGTTTCCCATAGGTCTTTGCGAGTTTCCCATAGATCTTTGAGAGTTTCCCATAGATCTTTGCGAGTTCCAGGCGACTTCCGCTAATCTTTTCAGCCCCCATGCCGTCACAAAGCGCCACTATTCATTTGAATAGGGCGCCATCTTGGATCGCCGGGGCTTGCTCCAACCCCATAAATAACTATGTTGATTGGAAATAGGCTTACAACATACACCAAAGCAATATGCCTGGTTTGTAGCATACTGACATTCCCAATTAGGATTACCGGAAAAAAGTTTTATGTTCAAAGAAATCTTCCAACAGTATTTTTTTCCTCACTTTTATAACGAGTTGTTATGCATGCTTTTCACACAACTTTATTGTTATTCACAGTCAGAGTCCTATTCCGTCAGTAATCTCTGTGAAAGCTTTGGCACCTGCTCCGAGACACAGGTGCGCAAGAATTCAAATTGTTCTCGTCTCTATATAAAAAAATAAAAAAAACACCTGCATTCTGACTCATTTCCGCGAACACCGAAACGTCGATGGACTTTACATCCCTTTAGGCTGTTTCTGGTTCAGTTACCATCCCATTGATTTCCGTACGCTTCTGCTAATATTCATGTGGTGTTGTACAATGCAACTAAAGGGCAGCGTTTATCATAATTGCAATGGAGGAAAAGACAGAGAAAGAGAGAGCGAGAGAAAGAAAGAGAGCGTTTGAGAACAAAAAAATCCAAAAAGGAATGAGACAAAGAATAGAGAATGTTTATATGTGCAATTAGAAAGAGATGTAGAAGCAAGAAAATATTCAGAATATTCTGAACATTGTAAAGCGCTTTGGGTGATCTTGGTCTGTTTAATGCACTCTATAAAGCGCTACAGTATATATAGATGAGAAACCCAACAAAATAAATACACTTGCCGCATTGCTGCTGTATATCCAGTAGGCTGCAATCTCAAATGACTTGAAAAAAGTAGCGGTTCATAGTCCAGCAAGTACTGTAATTGAAATTGAATCTAAGTCTGAATTTTGGTAGTGACAATCTTATTTAGAAGCTGCTCCCAATAGACCTCACCAAACAAATTCTTAAACTTATGTCAATCTTAGCTTGTTATTTCTGTTTTTAGTCTCAAAGTAGGGCCAAATCCCGAAAGTGAGAAAAAGCATTTATAAGCCATTTTCTACAGCAAAAAAAATCTCTGGTTTAACAATTTATTCTCAATCTTTGGACGCTTTGACGCTTTTTTAAGTCACTCTACTAACAATACTGCTCCTGTATGTTTAAAATGTACATCCCAATGTCATAGAACACGGCTTCTTCCTTCTGCTAAGGCAACAATCGCCTAAATCGTTCCCCCAATTCTGGTCTCGGTATTTACTACGACAGACCTACACAAGTGCAGAGCAAATGGGGAAAGATCGCCGGTGGAAGTGACAAACCTGGAGTTGCCTAGAGCGCAGTGATTACAGCGATTTGCAGTCAAAATTGCCACCGTTCCATTCCGTTCACACAAAGCAGCAGTGTGTTGTCGACCAGACGAGTAAAAAAAAAACGCTTCTCACCGAAATGCTCGCGGTTCCTCTCTTTACATCCAGAAGCCTCCTCTTAAAACACAAGTCTGGCGGAGGGTTCCAGCCCCATCCGTCAAACCGTCAAAGGGGGCCAGCTGAGTTGAGAGAGTCTGCCGAAAACATCTGGGGCTCGCAAAAGTGGAGGGAGCGCTTTCGATAACGGCCGTGTAACGTGCATTTAAGGGGAACGGTTTTGCATATAAAACGCGCGGTGGCAGAAAAACTGTAATTTTCCAAGCCCTATTTTAGGATGTGGGCCTCGAGCGAAGGTCTGGTGCTAAAGTAGAGTTGAAGTTGTCTCGATGTCTCGAAAAGAGCAGTCTCGATGCTACGGTACTTAACAACTATCGTCCCATCTCAAATCTGCCATTTATGGGGAAAGTCCTTGAAAAAGTTGTCTACCTACAGCTTACTAGATTTCTTATAATCAACAACTCATTTGATATGTTTCAGTCCGGCTTTAGACCCCACCACAGCACTGAGACTGCTCTCGTCAAGGTTACAAACGATATCCGGCTGAACACTGACGCAGGCAAAGTCTCAATCTTAATCTTGTTAGATCTAAGTGCTGCCTTTGACACCGTCGACCATGAGATCCTCTTACAGAGATTAGAGGACTGGGTTGGAGTCGCTGGCACCGCCCTAAGTTGGTTTAGGTCTTACCTTGAGGACAGGAAGTACTTTGTGGAGATTGGAAACTGTGTCTCAGATCATATGGCCCTGACCTGTGGAGTCCCACAGGGGTCGATCCTGGGACCTCTTCTGTTCAATCTCTACATGCTGCCGTTAGGTCAGTTAATACGCAGAAACAAAGTTTCCTATCATAACTATGCAGACGACACTCAGATCTATGTCTCACTGACTGCAGGAGAACATGGACCAGTGGACTCACTCCTTCACTGTATCCAACAGATCAGTGAGTGGATGCAAAACAACTTCCTTCAGCTAAACGCAGACAAAACTGAAATGATTGTCTTTGGTCCCCAGAAACAAAGAGAGAGCGTCATCTGTCACCTACAGTCTCTCTCCCTAAAACCTTCAAACAAGGTCAGAAATCTAGGGGTAATACTGGACTCAGACTTAAATTTTAATAGCCACATCAAATCAGTAACATCAGCAGCTTTTTACCATCTAAAAAACATTGCCAGGATCAAAAACATAGTGTCTAAAGCAGACTTGGAGATTCTTATCCATGCATTTGTCTCCAGTAGGTTAGACTACTGCAATGGCCTGCTCACAGGTCTGTCCAAACAGGCTGTAAAACAGCTGCAGTACATTCAAAATGCAGCAGCTCGAGTCCTGACTAGAACCAGGAAGTACGACCATATTAGTCCGGTCCTCAGGTCTCTGCACTGGCTTCCTGTGGCTCAGAGAATAGACTTTAAAACAGCTCTGCTTGTGTACAAGTCTCTCCATGGCCTCGCACCAAAATATATTAGTGACATGTTAGTCCCATATGAACCAGCCCGGACTCTGAGGAGCACAGGGACTGGACTCCTGTTAGTGCCCAGAGTCAGAACTAAACATGGGGAGGCTGCTTTTCAGATTCATGCTGCTAAAATCTGGAACAGTCTTCCTGGAGATGTGAGACAGGCCTCCTCTCTGACAATGTTTAAAACCAGGTTAAAGACAGTTCTGTTTAGCTGTGCATACAACTGAGGGATTTTATATTTGTATCTTTCTTTTTAATGTTCTGTGATTATTTATGATTTTAATGCTTTCTTGTTTTGTTCAGCACTTTGAATTGCCTTGTGTATGAATTGTGCTATATAAATAAACTTGCCTTGCCTTGCCT